TCGGGTTGGTTAATCAATTCAATGTTTAAGATTATTAACGGATTAACTGGATAAGATGCCTATGGAAGAGTTGTATAAGTGGTGGAACGATAACATTAAAAATAAGAATTTCTCCATCATAGTGATGAAATTGTTACACAGATTAACTCATGATATGTCACATTTTGGACAAATATATTGATGCAAAGGACTACATTCTTTTTGAAATTTGTAACAAAGTCTTTAGTTTGTTTTCATCATTACGATACTGCTAATATTAGCTCAAGTAAGGGGAGAGATGTGTAGAGTTACACAGGTCCCCCTTCATCAACATTAAAAATTATTAGCATTAGAATATATTTTGTGTCATAATTATTCTACCATAAAGCTTCTCTTATACCTTGCACATTAGACACTCAGTAAATTTTAATGAAGCAATGCCACTAAACTCCCACCCTACTTCACAATAATAATCTGTTTTAATGTACAGAAAGAGTTGTCACACATATAATGTTCACCGGTGTGTGTGTGTTTGATAGTAGGCATTATACAAATCATGAGATCAAACTTTCCATACGAGTATTATTTAATTTGTGATCACTATTGATATATTATCAAATGTTACCAAGGGATGAAAAAAGTTGACACAACTTGAATGCCATATGCTGAATATTTGAATCTTTAGAATTATTTTTGAATTTCTGGCTACTGTACAAACCTTCAACTATGCCCTATTGTTTCTTTGCTGGTCCTTCTACCATTTGTAGAGAAATACTAGACAGACAAAGCGATCATGCCCTTTACATATCAGATGATCTTGGGCAAATTAATTCAAAAGCCTGTCCTTGAGCAAGCTTTCTCTCCATCAAAGCTTGCTAAACTTGATGTTTACAATAAAGAAAATATGCTTCCAGCAAAACAAGTTGAGACAGGAATTGCTGCTAAACAGACTTTGGACAAGAATACCCATGTTGGTCACTTACAGGCTTTGGACAAGAATACCCATGCTAGCCCCTTACAAGCTTTGGAATTCAAAGTCAATGTGTAGTATTTCATCCGAAATTAGTAACAAAATCAATTGAGAGATGCTACTCCATTGCAAGGAACCTGGTGGCCTTGGATCCCAGGCACAATGTTTTTCACAGGGAGAAGACATAAGAGAAATTATCGAAACATTCCACATCATATGCAAGTAATACTCAGCCTATGAATGTGATGTTATATTAGAAGAATACAATGTCACAGGGAGAAGACATCAGTGAAATTATCGAAACATTCCACATCATATGCAAGTAATAACTCAGCCTATGAATGTGATGTTATATTAGAAGAATACAATGTCACAGGGAGAAGACATCAGAGAAATTATCGAAACATTCCACATCATATGCAAGTAATACTCAGCCTATGAATGTGATGTTATATTAGAAGAATACAATGTTTTGTTGTCAAAGATGAGTACCAGACTTATAATCTTCTCACGATCTAGCTTAACATGTTTTTCCAAGAAATGATTGGTTCTGACACCAAACTGTAACACATTTGGGAAACAAAAAGACTGTTATGTATTATTTCTATGGTCAGGCCACAACTAAGCAAATAAAGAACTACTTACTATTAACATGAGCAGCAAGATATTTCTTGCCTATAGAAAAGTACATGATAGTGTGAAAGACCTTGGCAGCAAAGTGGAAAACGTTGAATTCATGAACTAAGTGTTAGAGTCATACCATCATGCAAAAAACATCAGTTTTACATGGATGACAATAAAAAATAAAAAGGAAAGATATGGAGGCTGAATTAGATTGGGGAAATGGAGAGAGGAGACTGTAAAAATCATATGACGACCTGGTTAGGTACTTTAACCAGTTAGCTTTAGGTGCTGAAAAGCAACACAATCAAACACTGCTGGTAAATTCAAATGCTCCGAGAGCAGAATGCAAAAAAAAGACATTAAAAAGTTAGAGAAAAAAACAACACAATACTTGACAAGGAATAAGCTTGTTTTCTAAGGTTTGTGTTGTAATTTAACTGTATAATATGTGTTATTCACATAATTATGGTTTGGTGTACTGGAAGTGATAATACTCACTGGTGGTGGACACTTTCCACAACCACAAGTTAATTCACACTTTATTTCAAGTTTATACCTAGTAGAACTATTAGAAGTGTAGATATTCTTTTAAATATACTTGAAAATTGATTAAAATAACTTTTGTCAGTGTTAGTCATATACCACATATTCAGTTAATTACCAATGATACCATATTGATATTTGGAATATTCTTTACTAGAAAGTACAAGTTGTTTATCAAGTGTTCTTGTTTACACATTCTTGTGTATCAAGTGTACATATATATTTTGAATTTCGTTTCAAAGTGCACACTACAACACACAATCAAACTTGAAACTTTGAGTACTGAGAAACTGTAGAAATAATGTATGTTTTTCAAAAATATGAAGCTAAAAAAGTGTTATAAATTTCTATCATATGATCAACTAAAGGATTAGTAGTTGTGCAAACTTTAGCTGAAAGCATCAGAATCCTGTTTTTCTAATACTTTCAAATCATAAACTGTAGTGTTTGTGCATCAGCCCCTTAATTTAATAACTATGTTCAGAAAGAAATTTGTATATTAGATGTTAAATGGATATTAGAATTTGCAGTTAGGATAGTTATTAGTATAAATAATGTATTAAACGAATAGCATGCTTATACAGCTTTATGAAATTAATCTTTTGCATTTTACATTGTTGTTAGGAGACAATCTTATGAATATCAGACCTGATTTTATTGCACTTTTCACTATGCTAACAAAATGATGTCACTATTAGCAATTAAGTATAAAACTAAGTGTAGCCTAATCATTTTCAAATTGTCCATTACATATAAAGAAATACTGGCAAATAATTCAAGATATATTAACAATGAAAAAAAATTCTATATACATTAGTACAGAATGTTTGTTTTTGAATTTTGTGTAAAACTACATGAGGGCTATCTGCGCTAGCTGTCCCTAATTTAGCAGTGCAAGACTAGAGGGAAAGCAGCTAGTCATCACCACCCACCACCAGCTCTTGGGCCACTCTTTTATCAACGAATAGTGGGATTGACTGTCACATTATAACGCCCACATGGCTGAAAGGGCGAGCAGGTTTGGTGTGACGGGGATTCGACCCGCAACCCTCAGATTGAGAGTCGAGTG